ACTTGACCGTGATTGGCCAATTTCTTAAAGCTTAGGGCTTAAATCATCTATTGTAGACTGGGTCTAAGGCTTAGGGCACAGTATAACCAGTAGTGGCACTCGCTCTTTTGTTTCACGTTCGCGCCGATCCGTACTGCGCATCCGACATGTTTTTATTCTGACCAATCACAGGATTTTTGTACGTGTGTTAGTGCAAAGTCGGTGTGACATTGAAAAATTCGCAGTGTTGACGAATAATGGGTAAATACTTTTATACGTTGCAGCAAGTAATTACATTAATTACTTTTATTAGAACATTTTCTTTCATAGGCCATTTCCATTTACAATAAATAATGTATGCCAGTTCGTATGTGCCTTTCCTGGATACGATCCTGAAAAGGGCCCAGGCACTTTTAACCGTTGATACACTGTTGGCGCGAATAAAAACATGGCGGAAAATTGAGGACGCCCAGATCAAAGGCGCCGACAGAGAGTGCAACTACTGGTTATACTGTGCTTAGGGCTTAAATCTCTATTGTAGACTGGGACTAAAGCTTAGGGCTTAAATCTCTATTGTAGACTGGGACTAATACTTTTAGATCCAGCCAATCATATTAAATCACTGAGCGCTCACTTAACAGTTGTGTCTGCTGAACGCGGCCATTCTTTCCCTCCATGGTATTGGTCGTTGGAGCAAACAGAAGCATGCGACGCAAACAGACCTCTAGTTTCCTTGCTCTAATCTTTATACTCCCGGTTTCTAGTCGTCATGCGAGCGAGAAAGAATGAACGTATTTTCTTTATCATTGACAACCTGACGAACTTCCTTTATCCACGTGGGCGACCGCAGTAAAAGCTGCGTGACAACAGCCGAGGATTTCTTCTAAGTGAATCAATCCGGATGGGTTTCAACGACAGCGTGTAACAGTATCGCTTTCACGCTGTATAATTTTAGGTTATGCTCGACGCGATACTTTCTTATGCTATCTTATGTTGAAACCAAGGTAGGAGCGATCGAGTGAACTCCAATAATTAACGATGATTCTTTTAATTTATTCCTTAATCCTTTTTTTTGTTTTCAGGAAAGCAAAAGTTATGGTAACGATGATATCGTGAGTGGGACGCTTTTCATTTTTGGACGATTAACGTATGCAGTAATGTGATGATTTGTTAACAATCTATGCTTAAGCTTTTAACAGGGTGGTATGTTTCACAAATTCTTATTCTAAATTTTTTAAGTTTCTTCTATACTAAGCAGCAATAACGAAATGAGCTTCATTTTATAAATATTATTTGTTTCAAGAAGATGCCTGCGAAAAAAGGCAAGAAGTTTTAAATTTGTAGAGAAGTTATTTGTGAAAATTTAAAAAAATTGTAACCTCGAAAACTATCTTAAGAATTCTGTGTTGAAATTATAATATTTACTGGTTATGTAAGTAGTTTAGCAAGATTTGTATTTATATTTCAATCTATAGTAATTTTTAAACAGAAAATATATACAATATGATTTAGAAACTTTATAATGTAATTACACATATTTTATGCAAAGTATAATAAATATATTTATTTCCTCTTGATTACAATGTTGAGAAATATAGAGATCATAATGTTTTGTTCTACGTTATTAGTTGTGTAGTATGTCGTGAAGTTAGCACCTCAACTATTGGCATTGCAAGTTTTCATGCAAGTTCTATTTGTGAAAACTATCGTGAAAACGATCTGTTAACAAATTGACCGAAACCACACACACAAAGAGAACTGGCACCCCATACCTTTATAAAATGAGGTGCCAACCTCGCAGTAACATGTAGTATAAATTATGAGATAAAGTGCAAACTTTTTCATTATTCCACTAATTTTTGCTTTTCTGATTTTCTTTATAACAAGTTGTATATTCAACAATCATGTATTCTAATTTTTTCAGAATTTTTTACTTTAGGAATATGACACGTTCACACGTAAAATACCAAATTGCTAGAAATGATGTCGATGTAACCGAGTACTTGCCACAAAATGTTCCAGATTTTCAAAATATAACAAAGCCAGAGTCTACATTTGGCAGAAAAGCATTATATATATTTTTATTAATCTCCGCTTACTTTATTTTGTCGATAGGCCTTACATTTTATAATCCATGGCTTTACAACGTATATGTGAGTAATTGTATTAATAACCCAAAAAGATTATTTTTATGTGTTATTCCAATTATGAAGAAACAATGATAAAATTTCATAAGGACTGCTTCATAAGCTACATTTTATTGATTAGAATAAATCAAATAAATTCTTTAGATATATAAATGTTTATGATAGATCTCCCTTAATTTTTGACAAAGGAACATCTATTAATGCAACTGTTACAACATTTTTAGGGATTTAATTTTCCACTTGGCGTAGTAGTTTGCCACTTGGTCATAAAGTTCGCACTGTCCGCATTAATAAGGTGCATCAGAAGATGTTACAATGGTAAACGAATAAATCTTCCATGGCAGAATATTATTTGCTCATTAATGGTACCTGGCATAGCCAGTGGTGTCGATATTGGTTTGTCAAATTGGGCTCTTTCATTGATCTCGATATCTTTGTAAGTATAATCTCAGAATAACAATTTAAATATCAAGAATTTATTGCAGTATTTATTAGTTGTACATGACATTTTTTTTCAGAGTTACCATGACTAAATCAACCACCATTATATTTATTCTTGGATTTTCTCTTCTGTTCAAATTAGAAAAAAAGGTGAGGCTGATATTTATCAAGTATTTATTAAATATATATTTTTAGCAGGTAAATAATTTAATTAAGGTAAATTGTGTTTATTATAGTCATGGTCTCTAGTAGGGATAGTGGTGATGATAGCAGGAGGATTAGCAATGTTCACTTATAAATCTACCCAATTTGGCATTGTTGGCTTTATATTGTGTCTTTTGGCATCGTTTGCAAGTGGTATTCGATGGACTATGACACAACTCATTATGCAAAGATCCAAACTTGGCCTCCACGATCCGATAGACATGATGTATTATATGCAGCCCTGGATGCTATTACCCGCGATATCAGTAACTTTATGGTTTGAAGGTAATTTTACAACAGAATTTTAATGGAACAAATTTTATAATTAGACTTTATAGGTAAGCCCGATAAAAAAGTAGCTCTTTCTTGTTGAACATGCCATAGTTTGTCGTAATATGTTGTTTGTATTATTATAATATTTATATTATTATATTGTGTCATTATAATAGCCCAGATTTAAAATATCTTAAATTTTAGGTAGCAGAATATATGATGGTATTAGAATCACTGATTGGGCCAATATTGGTAGCATTTTATTAACTGCAGGTGCTATAGTAGCAGGTGCCATTTTAGCATTTAGTATGGAAGTGATGGAATTTTTAGTTGTTACTTATACCTCTAGTCTGACATTGTCAATCTCGGGAATATTTAAGGTAAAATGATAATCAATTTTATTACCTTTTTTTATATTCCAACACATGTCATGTTTGTTTCCTATATTTTTAAAAATAATTAATTATAAAAAATGCAAGATTAGATAAAACTTATATAAAATATTAAATTTAAATTTGATGTCTTATCTAAATATTCACATTAGATTTAAATTTATATTAATATTAGATAATTACACATTTCTGCGAGTAGAAAGTACGTCAAAAAACATTTCATAGATAATATACATTCTTAGCCAATTTTCAATATGTTTTTTTCCGATTCTTTTTACAGGAAATATGTACATTAGCGCTCGCCTTTGTGTTGAAAGGTGATCAAATGACTAGCCTTAACTTCATAGGATTATTAATGTGCCTTGGTGGTATAATACTTCACGTTATCCAGAAGGTATTACTTAATAGAAAGAAAGTAGTTGATAATATGGAAATGCAATCAAAAGTGGCAAGCAGTGGTACTAAACATGAAGAGGGAACTGATTCGAATGTGCCATTATTGACAGAAAAGTCAACATCTTTAATGAATCTTCTTAATGCTGAATTTAGTTCAGATGAGGATGGTAATTTGAGGGAGAGTGATAACTCGACCCAAATACTATCAGATATTTTACAACGCAGAGAACAGTGATACGTCGTGAATTTTTAGACCTAATATGAGGAATATTTTTTTACTAAGGAGAACATTCCAACAATGTATATTTATGGCTTGCGTATATTTATAGCAGTTTATATTTTTCCAGTTTACAGTGAATAATGAAGTTGCTGACAACATAAATTTTACATCACAAATTTGTTAACAATTAACGTTAAAAAACATGTGGTGATCTTGGATATCTTTTTTAAGTATCTTTTAAATTCTCCTATAGGTAGGTTCCGTCTTACAATGGTCCATTTAACGATTTTTCACATTCACAACTTTTTCAAAAACACTTAAGTAATTACCGTAAGTATAAATAAACATGTATTTGAAAAACAATTTCTTATTTTAAAAAAGCATTATTAGTACATACTTGGGCAAATGATGTTAAGTTTAGAATTTCTATTATTTATTCATATATTATAAATTTGTTTTGTTTCACAACTTCATTTTACGATTTTGTTTCACTGGAATCTTACCTGACCTGAGGTCGTTAAACGGATCCTATGTTTATATGATGTGAAGTATTTAATGCATCACAAAAAAAGTTAATTAACCATATAAATATATGTTTGTGTGCTGTGAAATGTTAAATATAAGATTACCCGATGCATTTCTATATATTATCGCATAAGGATAAGATAAAAATATCTTAAAAAATTGCGAAGTACAAACATGAAAGTGTGAAATGGACTTTGTTATATTTTTTGATATTAGTAGAAAAATGTCGCTACGTATGAAGACTTATAAATTATTATTATTAATGTTATTTTAAGTATTATAAACAAGAGCTTTACTATGCAATATTTTAACTCATTTAAATTATTGTGTGCATTATGTGTGCGTATGCATGTGTATGAATATATGTACAGAAGATAGTGCTGCGAGGTCAACAAACTTCAAGAAACGATAGATCTCACAGAAAGGACCATATGTATTTATATACACACATACAGAGTTGGAAGTTACTTTATAAAAGTATGTAGTTCTAGTTACAGTTTTTTTCGATAAAAATGTAACTAGTTACAGTTACAAGTTACCAATTCTGAAAAGTAACGCGTTCTAGTTAAGGATACTCAATCAGTAACGAATCGTTACTTTGCAGTTACTTTCTTAAAATGAAAAAAAAGATATCAAATCTGCATTTGAATTGTAAAGCGCCAATAAAGGTGTTTATGCGTAAATGCAAAACCTAATGGGATTTGTGTAGATTTAAAATATATGTCAAATAACTATTAATGTAACTATATTAAATTAGTTACTAGTTATTGAAAAAAATGTGAGTTAAGTTACAGTTACAGATAGAGAGAAAGTAACAAAATTAAGTTAGAGTTACCAAAAAAAGTAACTGTAACTGTAACTTCGTTACAAGTAACGAGTTACTTCCCAACCCTATATATATATATATATATATATATATATATATATATATATATATATATATATATATATGTTACCAGCGATGAACGTAATTTTGGCAATGCCACCTATGGTCAAGCTGATAAGATTAGTAAATAGATGTTTAAGCCCTATAACTTTTGTCCAAAACGATTTTTTTAATGCTTTGCTAAAGAGATGTTCTAATAAAAACTTTAAAATGGGACACCTTGTCTCTACGTGTGTGTGTGTGTGGGGGGGGGGGGGGGTATAGTATATACTATATGTACAGTACATAATTTTTTCTTAGAAAAAGCGTCCAAAATAATATAAAGGATAATTCAGTGTTTGTATACAATTTTCTAATCATCAACGCACAATATAATAAATTTAAACGCACTAATTGAGGTTCATTATCAATGTAACAGGCAAATGATAATGAATTATTGAAACCAAACTGTTTTTACAAATTCTATGTATATTTATAAATTGTAATTATGAACTGATAATAGTTCACATATGTTATATTCAACGTGTTAACAGTAAAGTACCTATTATACCAAAAATGTTTATAAAGTTAATTTTATTTTTAAATCCCCCTCATATTGAGGATGGATTTTGTAATTTGATTAAAGCTTAATAAATATCTTACATATTAATGTTATTTCTTGGTCTTTCTTTCTGTAAATTTCATAAATAAATATTAAATAATATGAATTATTTTCATAGAATGCAAGCGATAAATAATTTTCTTTTCTCTGTCTCTTCAAAACCAATTTTAAGAATAAGTTTTTAAAGAGTATGTTAGAGCTTCATTAATGTATGTGTAAATTAATTTGAAACTACCTTTCTCTGTTCGTCACTATCACTATTTAATTTATATTTTCGTTAGCGTTTCCCACGAATGGGATTAAGATTTTGCTCATCAGAGAATTTTTATTTATCTTTAATCGGTTACTAAAGAGGGGACCAAATTTAATGACCGAAATGTTATAATATTACTAAACATTCTATACACACTTTTTATTTTTAAATATATGACTTCATCAAAAATATTCGTGGCTCCCATTGTGCTCTAAATCTATTATTCTTATGTTTAATATTGTAGCCTATTTTCAATTTTACTTTAGTTAAAATTTAAATAGACAAGAAAAGTAGATAAAATCATATCATGATGAAAATTATAAGTTGTAAAGGATAGAATGATTCTGTTTCTTTGGAAATCGGTTCAAATATTTAATAATATCCTCCTAGTGTCACTATATTTCTTAAAAGTAAATTACAACAGATGTATTAGCTATATATATATATTCACATTTTCACAACAATCGAATATGAATATTTTTATTGTTTAACTCTTTAAAGACAAACATTGTGTAAATAATGTAATTTCACATTTTATACACTGTCACAACTGCCTCGAAAGAGAGTTGGACCAAATGATATAATATTATACGAATCTTCTACTTGATATAATATGTTGTTGTTTATCATCCTATTATACGCTAGATAAACAAAAAGTTTCATATAAACTAGTTTCTATTATAATAAGCAAGCCAGTTTGCAATCGTGTTTGCTAGTTCTGCGACGTTTATTCTAATATCGATTAACGTATAAATAAACTCACTTTTATCTTTTATAAATAAAATAACAGACTTATCTTTCGTGCTTATTTTTTATTTGATTAGCTTTTTTAGATTTGGTTTCGATCCTGTTTTCCAGCTTGTGAATCAATTCGTCTAATTCGTCCTGATAAACATAAATTAGGATATAATTACTCTCAGACTATTTATACTTTGCATATGCATACTTATATGTATGTATACACATGATAAGGATGTACTGATTAATTAATATACACATAATAAGTTGTTATACTTACTTCATCATACGTATACATCAGAATACAATGTTTCAGAACTTGCTTCTTACAACTGATTAAATGCAGTGCATGTGACAAACAATAAACGCTGTCATCTTGCGAATTGTTTACCAAAGAGACAAACAAATTAGCTCTGCACGTCTCACATTCAAAGTCACCATCATCTTCTTTCACCTTCTTCCCTTTCTTCCCTTTTCCGCTATCTGGCAAAGGCAGTCTCTCTCTGTTGGTAAGACCGATACTTTCCAGTTGTTTACGATAATCTAATTCCCTTTCGCGAATCTTTATCACACTCGGCAATATCTAAAAACACAAGAATCTAATGTAGCGCTAAGTGCTCAAAGCTTTATGATGACAATATGTGATTATTTATTTTAATATTTAATTAATTAATCTTACAATTACAGCATAAATTCATTCCTACCTGTTTCAATATATCTATGTGAGATCTCGTGTCGTTAATAATATTAAATAACAATCTTTCAAATGAAAAGATAGAAGGTTCACAACTGTCTTGTATGTCCTGAAAGTATATCAATATTGTTTCAATATCATCGAACAATAATGAAATCGTTAAGTTACTAAAAATCACATGCATATAAAAGATTTTATATGTATTGTGTATATACCTTAAATACTTGTTCCGCGGTTTCTAACCAGGATGGTTGTGCGAAATATACACTCTCGGATACTACATAACCGGTACATATGCTGGATGTGAAGGCTTTTGGAAAGACTATTATAAATTGTCCCGGTTCTTGCACTATGTGACATAACGACACACCATTGCTTACTAATAATTCCGGTGGAACCATGGCAGTATCAGAAGGTAACCATATAGTCTTGTTTTTACAATATCGTGGTACCATTTTCGAGAGCGCTTCTCGGAAGTTGTTATTATGCTCATCGGGTATCCCATACCAAATTTTTTTGGCACCTGTATGTAGATATTCTATCCATGGTAGACCATGCGGATCGCGATACCAGCAACAAGCACTAAATAACATACCTACGTGCAATGTTGGTACGGTCACACCTGGAAAAATCGTTAGTATAAGAACGTCACCAATGCATCTTCATTGAGCAAAAAGCATGATGATCCTTAAAAAAATGAGGACCCTTGAATTGTGCGCTTATTATTTATTTTCTCGACTTAAATAAAAAGTTGTAATGTCCTGTCTGTGATAAAAAAAAGCTATATACCCATTAGTGGACCCAAAGCTCTTAATACTGATCCAGCGTTGTTAGTGAGAACTTTAAGATTCCAAGGATGTCTAGCGAACGGGCTATTTTTCGCAACGGAAAAGCCAAATCCACGACCGCTGGAATCAATGCTTGCCGCATGTACGCAGACATGACGTTTCCTCTCGGCAACGTGTTTCCAAAATGCATTCTCAACCTCGCCGGCGGAAGCACCCTCGGCTTCGTTTCCTCGTTGATTTTCACCAAACCACATACGTTGCGTATTACGGGCAATTCGATAGAAAGCGTTCAACGGCATGTTTCTTCCCTTTAATATTACAAATATACGTGTATTCATATAGGTGTGTTTACATATACATATAGAGAATTTTTATACATTACCCACGCACACACACACGCGCGCACATGCACACGCATGTGTGGGACTGGTGGGGAAGATATTTAAGGTGGTAATAATAACTAATTAATTTGTCCTGGTCACTTACTTTCACAATGCATTCTTCAATTTCATCAGAACTGTCCTCATCCTCTTCCTCATCATTATCAGTGGACAACACTTCTTGCCTTTGCAAAGCTTTGCTTTCTTTTCTCATCCATTCAGTTTCAACCTCGTCGAACAATTTTCCACGCTCCTCTAAACACATAATTTATAATTAGTAATATAAATTTTTCAACATCTTTGTGACATTTATTACATAATATAAAATATACCTAGCGACAATGTATCATATGGCAGTAAATATTTACAATAAATATCGTCTAGTTTAGTAACACGATCCTGTGCTGATTTTGGTATTTTCATACCATCTGCTACTTTTTGCCATTTCTTTTTCTCAATAACTTCTTTCAATCCACCCAAACTTTGAACCGTTTGATATAAGTGAGGTAAATCTACTTCCATTCCACCAATCTGAAAGAGTTAATTATTAGTAAAAGCACTAATCCTTAAATTTCCTCAAGTTCTCTCTCTCTCTCTCTCTCTCTCTCTCTCTCTCACTACAATATCTATTTAAAAAAAAATATAATAATAAATACCCATGGAGGTTGTGTCAAAGTAATACTCTGAGTAGCTAAATATTTCTTGATAGCCATCATTTCTTTTACATTAGGGCCCCACCTATGGAGCATGCGATGTACATATTGATTGTAAGCAGTAAATCTCATATCATCAGACACCTTGCATTCTGGCTAAAAAATTTAAAAAGGGAATCATACAGTATGTAATTATATTATGTACATAATTTATTATTTAATATGTTACGTTTATTAGCCATCTAATATAACTATTTCTTTATGTGGTATTTACCTTGAAATTTGGTGGAGGCACCACTTTACAAATCCCAAACTTTTCAGCGATCGGTTTTATCTTGTCTATATACTCCAGTGGATCCTGGAAATCTTTTTCCGTCGGGTGAAACGTTGGCGCTTCAACTACGCGAGCTTCATCATTTGTGATCTTCGTACTTGGAAACGTCATACTGTTGCTTGAGGAGCATAGCTCTGATACTTTTTGTTTGCACTTCGTTGTCCTAAAATATTATCCATAAACGATAGAGATGCATAACAGAATTTTACGTTTATATTACTTACGTTACTTCGAAAATGTACAAAGTAACATTCAACGTTACCTCTTTCCGCTTTTTGTCGAATCTATAGAAGCTTTTCTCTCTCTCGACGACTTTGGTGGTGACTTTATGTGTTTCTCCACACTGCTATTTGCGCTCGTACTGACATTTTGACGATTCGAACTTGGCACTTCAAGTTTCGTTCTTGAGACCGGTTGCATCTCCGCACTCGGCGTACCTGCTTCCACAGTCGACACGGTCTCGGTTGTTGACGTCGATGGTACTTGCTGTTCTACCGTAATTGCTGTAGAATTAGGCGGGGTACGTGTTGTCGGTTGCACCGTCCCTATCGGTGGACAACGTGCCACGGACAATGGTGGCTTGGTGACCAATTTAGCTCGAAGGAGCACTCTTTGATTAGGACCGGTCGGTCCCTCCGTACCGAGTTTAACAGCGACGCCCTGTATCAGCTGTTGCCCTTGTGCCAGATTCGGGCCGTTCCTTGTAACAGCCTGCAAAGGAATGTAAAACAGCTGTCCATCGTTATCGTCGTCGTTCTCGTTACTGATCTCGGTCTGAGTAGATATCTCGGTACTCTTCTGTTGACTCGCATTGCTCTCTGGCTCCTGCGTGGTCTCGTCGAGATTCACCTGCACCGCTATGGAAGCGCTGCAATTTACGTTGCTCCAACTCGTCGTGAGTTTGTCGAGCGGTAGTACTTGGACATTGGTCAAACTCGCGAAATTCTTGGGCAACTCAAACTTGTTTACACTTGGAACTGTACTTGCCACGTTCGTCGGGCTTTGCGTCTCCTTCGTGTCCTCTTTTCTTGTGACCATCGCGGGATCGTTGGGCGGTTTATTCTTGCTATCTGACGATTCGGAATCCTCCTTCAAATTTGATCCCTTGGCTTCGGCAATCACTTTGGTCTCGGGTACCACAGCCACTGTGGACTGCATTACTGCGGTCAAACGTTTCGCATCGTCTCTAATCTTTCTCCGGAAGGGTGTGCTAACGGGAACCTCGGTGTCACTTTCAAACGCGTAAACGCTGCTCTCGTTCTCCGGCGAAAACGCATTCGCATTCGGCGTTACAGTTTTACGTTCTTTTACCTTAGGCAGAAAAGGCTTCCGCAGTTGAAAGATTTTTTTCTCCGTCGGCGACTTCTTCTCTATAGAACCGTCCACCGAGTTTTGATCCGATTTGGACACAGTATCACTAGTATCTTCAATAGGAGATGTATCTTTGTTCATCTTCTCAGTTTTCTTGACAATCTCTCTCGCCTCAGTGGTAATTTTATTCTTGTCGACAATCGCATTCTGTTGTTTCGCCGCAGTATTACTATGCGCATCAGATGATATCGGTATCACATTTCTGCTGTGTATCCCCGCGCGGTCCTTCAAACTCGTCTTATCCGACAATTTCGAAAGCGTGACATTGACCGGACGTACTAAATGTTGGATTTTCGTCGAGATAGACAGATGCGAAACGTCCGCCTTCAATTTCTCTTTCACAGACTCGTATCTAAAGCTGGAAACGTTTTCCATCTCCAGCTTACTCTCTTCCTTGGCGAATGAGCTTTCGTTCAACCACTTTTCTATCTGCTCGGTCGACATATTCACTCGTTCTTTTCTCGTATGCAAAGTAGATAACGGCATAAGAGTGGAAGGGACCTTATTTTCATGATTACATTTTATCTGTTCCGTAGGTGGTAGCAACGAGCCTTGCGTCTTTACGGACAAATCCATTACTGACTTTTTATCCTGAGCAGATACGCTGCACTCATCGTTTAGCGAATTTACGGCCGGGGAGCCGACTTTGACCGATGAGACTTTTACTTTACTCTCTTGTAAAGTACTGCTTTGATCCATCGTTTGCGATACGTCCAACGTTTTGGGCACATTCGACTTTTCATCAGACTCTGTGATTAGTAGATTAACATTGGCATGTGTCTGACACGAATTCAATACTTTTGATATTGCCTTCTTAGTAAACCCACGAAAAGATTCCTCGTCGTCCGATACCTTCGGCAGATCGGCTTTCACATTTTGCGCGTTGCCGCGAGTCCTTTCATCCTTCGTCTTGTTGACACTGTCAGGAATCTGTCTTTCCTCTCCCTCCTCATTTTCTTTCTTCCTCTTTATTTTACTCAGCAGCATTCCCAGCGTTTCCTCCTCAGACTCCGCTTTCTCGTTTTGATTACTTTTAAGGCTCTTTTGCTTAATCTTATCCGACGACGTTTTGGATATATTTTGCTCGCGTTTACGTTTTATCACAAATTTTTCCCTAGCTGATTTCACACAACTTTGAGTCTGGGCCTTCGGTTTATTATTTACGTTATTTTGCACTTCTGTTTGTACAGTTGTGTTTTTGGAAGATGATCTAAGGCTCCTGCTAATCGGTTTGTCAACCTTTCCAAGACTCTGTCTGGTAATGGGTCTTGTGTTGTTAGTTTCTATTGAGCTCTCGGATTCCTCATCGCTGTCTTCTTCGCAATATCTCTGCACTCTCATCAAACGTTTGCTCTTTAAAATCAACTTGTTATTTTTATTCTTATTCAATCGCTTATTAGCATTATTATTGAAGGTGCTAACTTTAGAATCTTTAGTTTTAGCGACAGTCTTGTTACTATTCTGTTTTACTTTGGCTTTAAGCTCATTCTCCGTTTGCGCTATTCTACGAGCATTTGGCAGTTCAGGAAAGCTTTCGACTGAAATGTTATCATCATTTTCTAAATCTGGACTCACTAATTTCCTTCCAAGAATCTCCATATATACAGCAGCTGCTTCCTTCGTCTTTCTGGTAGGCCTTCTAGAGAGATTCTGCAAGGAGACGGTGCCGCTGGACGATCTTGTAACTCTTCTCATCTCTGACTTACTTCTGGTACAGATCTTTTTTCGGATACCCTTTTGTATGTTGCGCTTTATCTGTGTAGACTTCTCCACATGTAACTCTTCCTCCTCATCGTTCTCTACATCATTCTCCCCTTCAGATGACGCATCTGTATTTAACGCATCTGTATCGCTATTTTTCGATCTCAAATTTAATTTCTTCTTTGGCTTGGGTAACGGCAGTTTCGTTTTCGACAGAGGTTTAGCGGCCTTATCTGGCAGTACACCGCTTCTTAGACCGTGTCTCTTTGCCTTAATTCTAGGTAAGAATTTTCGCGGCGCCAACTGAAGACCAGCCTTCAACATAGATCTCTCTGTACACGATCTTGTCCTCATAACGCAAGTGGTTTTGTATCTATTTTTAATTCTTTGCTTAGCAAGGCGTTGTTCCTGATATTTCTTTTTAAGTGCTTGGACTGTAGACGTAGTCGTCTTAAGTTTGGTAATGCTTTTGTGTAATGAATTAGCCACTTTTTTCTTATTCGAGACAACAGGCTTTACTTTTGTCACATTTTTCTGGCATGTATTTTCTTGTTTCTGAACCTCTGTAAAAGTGCTAGTAGAGGATGCCTTCTCCACAGAAGTTCGAGCTGGCTTTGGTCCTTGTTTCTCCTTCTTGTTGCCAATATTGAAGAAATTTAAACTGGATGGCAAAATAGATGTTCCTAAATTTGAAAAAAAGAGATATTATCATCTAAAGAATACACATAGACCAAGATCAAAATAGACTAAAGGCTCTGAATAACATGTTCAATTTCATATTTTATCAATGGAAAGATTGTATACAGGCAAAACTTATTTCTCTCCATCTCCCTCAAAATGTATCACATCAGATCATTTTGTAGCCGTGACATGTCTTCCAAAAATTATTGATTTAAATGAAAGAAATTGGTGTATCTTTAAAAAAATTAATTAACCTCTAAAACACAAAAACGTTAAAAAATCCTCCGTATTCGGACGTTTGTGCGTTATTAATTCTGTGAATGTGGCAGGTTTAGCCTTTTCTTTATCCTTGACAGGCGTAGGCGATATATTGAACACTGTGGTTGCGCCCTGTGCAAATTTTCTCTGTGCGTGAACTTTGGTCCTGGAATAGACAATTTCGTAATATCACGGCAAGTTCCTCGAAAGCTGTTACAAATACGCAGCACGCATTACTACATGCCTCTCTAAATACACGCGATTCTTAATCGCAATCGTCACTACAAGCAACGTGAAGATGAGTTACCTTTTCGGAGATTCCGAAAGGGGCTCCATGAGATCCACCAGGTCCCCCTCCTTCCTCTTTCTCTTATCGTTGCGACTCAAAACCATTCTGAGACGACGTGAAACGGAGATCGAAGCATCGGCGAACGCACAATTATCGTTCCGGTTATTTCACGGATCATTCAGGAGCAAATCGCATCTACCGCATCATTCGCGTAAGAGCTAGACGCGCTTATACTAGTTCACGATGAGACCTACGCAAACCAATACCCCGGACGATCGATAAAAATCATCGCCGTCGTTTTAATGGTCAGTGCGTTATAAAGAAAATTTATGACCGACTCGAACCAAGCTGGTTGCTCGTGACGAGTTTGTCAGTCGCACAGGATTTCCGAGAGGAAATAATAAAAGTTATGCACTTTGCTCGGAAAATCCCTTTTTATCTTATCTTTCTCATACTCCTGAGTACCTGAAGCGGTTGTTTATTCCAAGTAAAATTAAATGCCACGATCCTTCGATCCGCGATGCAAGTGTTTGTAGACACGTAGCGTGTGGAAGAAGAAATATCGATTTTTGAGGCTCATTCTTATGCAGCGTATGAAATTAACATTAAACTCAGGTCAGGTTAGGTCAAGTTAGGGTTAGGTTAATGCCCAGATTCATGCAGGATTCACACTGGATCCAATATCCGACGTATGTATGTACGACAAAATTTTCAAGCGTGTTGACTGGCTGCTGAATTGAAAATTTCTAGATACTCGAGAATTTTAAGGCCTTCACACATAAAATTCCGTAAGTACGTAAAACGTAAAGCGTAAGAAAATCAACAGATTGGATTAATTGCTACTGCTTGCGTTATTGCCTTACGTTCTCGACTGTCACTGGTTGATTTTCTACGCTTACGTTTTACGTCCTTACGGAATTTTGTGTGTGAAGGCCTTTAGTCCCAGTCTACAATAGAGATTTAAGCCCTAAGCCTTAAGAAATTAACTAATCACAGTCGCGCATTCTACTCATACTTGACCGTGATTGGCCAATTTCTTAAAGCTTAGGGCTTAAATCATCTATTGTAGACTGGGACTTACTATGCTACAGCAAATCAACACACTTAAGAACAATCGACTGCGATTGGTCAATTCTTATGTGTCTGACGGAATTGACCAATCGTAGTCGACTATTCTTACGACTACGACTTTACGACTTCTATGTAGACGAGGCTTAAAGCCTATCACACAATGCCAGGCAACAGGCAGCAGGAACAGGGAATAGAATTTCTGACGCGTTGGATTGGTTGGACGAAAATTTCCGACAAATCCAATGCGTCAAAACTTCTATTCTCTATTCCTATTGCCTGTTGCCTGGCATTGTGTGATAGGCTTTAAGACGGACTTGAATATAAGAGCTGACTATGAAAACCGGCCTAAAGGCCTGTGTCCACGATGCTAGGACTTGGTCCAAGTTCTAGTTTCGAGAAATGTGTAGTCAATCAACTTGCAGCTATTCCATAAGAGATGCAAGTTGATTGGCTACACATTTTTCAAAACTAGAACTTTGACACAGTTCTTGGATCGTGGAAACAGGCTTAAAGCCCAATGTCCACGATGCTAGAACTTGGTTCAAGTTCTAGCATCGTGGACATTGGCCTTTAGAGAGTCTACTCCCACCACCGTCGTTGCCAGACTTGTGTAGTGTGTAATGTGTATACCGTGGTGTGTAGAACGTGGTTTACACGGTTTACACGACCACCACGGGCACCACGTACTATCGCGTGCTGCTCGCGGAACGTGTGTCTTTAAGAATCGGAAACTAGTGTCGGGGATAATCACACGAAATATAGGATTTAATCACTCTGTCGAGAATAGGCAAGTAATTATGACGTTGCACAAATGTGTTATCGCGGTGTGCTACCACAGATCGAAACAGGGCGGGGATGTTGCTTGGGATGCGTGTCAAATTTCGCAATCAACATTTACACGTATTCGGACAATGGTATTCGAAGCAGGACGCATCGTTGCGTGTATGTACATAACAGTCTAGATTCGTCGAGACTCTGCGTCCTCTGCCGTTGTCCCTTTTGCACGAAATTTTGCGAACGAAAGTTGCTGCAGTTTTGAAGTAACAGCTAACTTCAATCACCGACGGACATTCTTATCGTTTCTCCGAATTTTTTATGTCCTCGCGATGATTTCTATTTTTAGTGTCGCACGTCACGTCGGAAATGTAACGATAGGCAACACTAGATTCGTTTCATTATCTAATATGGTTTCTCGTTTTGTATGTAAGTTGAAATGCAAATGTCCCTACCTGATTTAGATTTGCCTGTACTGTTACATTATTTTAGCAAAATCTTGGTACTTTTAAATTAATAGACTAAGAAGAGCCTTGAATGCTTGGGCGTTGCACCTTATCATATTTCTGATATTGATAGATAAAATCTCATCATGCATAAGAATGGACCACCACCACCTTATGAACCACCACCTTACGCGCCACCTGCTTACTCCCAAAATGTGGGAGGTGTTCCTCCAGCTAGTCCGTTTACACCTGCGCAAACTTGTACGTTGAAAAGATATCGAATTTACACTAAATAATATAATTAATAAGAATCCACATGTTACAAATTGTATTCGCTGTTGCTCCGTCTTGTAGATGCGAATGGGCCTACTATAGTCACAACTATTGTTCCGCTCGGGCCACAGTCGACTCATACAATCTGTCCACATTGCCATGCCGAAATAGATACATCAACAAAAACTGAACCTGGCATGATTGCTTATATCTCAGGTGTCATCATAGCACTGCTGGGGTAATTACAAATTAATATTCAGAGTTGCATTAGATTTACACACATATATATATATATATATTGTAAGTTTAATTGTTGTTTCCTTTTATATTAGATGTTGGTTTGGTTGCTGCTTGATTCCATGTTGCATTGATGAATGCATGGATGTTCATCATAACTGTCCAAACTGTAAAGCTTATCTGGGACGTCATAGAAGATAAGTGGATTGTATTAACATCCACGCGTTGCATTTGAATGTTGAAATGCCGACAATACTACGAATTCCAATGGATATACTAAACTTGATTTTGACACTGTACATCTTCGGGGGAATAGCTTCGATCACAGAGTACTAAACGAGAGACGAAAAGCGTAATTTCGTAATTTCATTTAGAGCAATCCAGTTAAATCTTTATAACGAAGGATGCATAGTATCTAAATAATTGTTTTATATAATTTTTTAATTCTTACAAAATATTGTTATTGCACCAATTAGTTATAATCTCTTGCACGATTTTTGTAAAAATATTTTCATGCTTTTGCGTGAAAGTGGTGAAATTATTGCGTACAAGTTTTTTAGTAAGAAGCATATTCAAAAAACACTTGTGCATAACTTTTGAAAAAGAGAATTCTACTTCCACATCAATTTATTCTTCCAATATTAATATTAATCTACAACTTTTATTTCATTTGCATTATTAATGTAAATATGTACTGTAGAGTGTAGACTATCTGCAGCATAGATTTCTAAAGATCAACTCATTAATCATAATTTTGACTCAATTATTATGCCAGTCTTTGCCATTTTTTGTTATGTTTATGTTTGAAACAAAAATTAAGATTATCCATAAATTGATAGGCAGCAATATGTGCAGCTATTTTTAAATCACTAAGCCGTCCAGCTATATAAAATAATAATATTGTCACAGCAATAATTTCTTTAAATTCAAATTAAATAACGACACAATAACGATACTCGCAAAATTGTAGCGTAATTTACGCTAAAATATTTAGTCTATTGGTAGTAGCTAGCTCTTGATTGGAAAAATCTTGATAAATATATCTCGTATATTTATGTCATAAAAGTATGTGGATTATCAAATAAATATTAATGTCAATAACTTATGCTTTTATATAATTGATGAATGGCAACTGATATATTACTAGACTGATATGTTGTTAGAGAGTTTAAAACTAAAGAAATCTAATACTTGTTTAAAAAGGGAATATACACACATACATATGAAATATTTAACTTCGTACATGTTACAGAAGTGACTACAAATATTATTTTTGTCTTAAATATCTTAATTTATACAACAATGAATCTCAAATTCTGTTTGACAAATTGAGCTCAATACTATTACAGGAAAAAAAATTTGCGTCAATGCTTTATAGAATAATGTAATGTTACGGAATAACGTTTAACATCATAGTAATGATGTCAAGCGATGGACTATTTACTTATTTTTGCGCCTGTGTGCCTCAAATTAGATAAGCCTTCAATCTCCCGTGCTCTTATTACAAGATAACTTCTATTTTCTAATGCATGTGTAAAATAATGTAAACAATAAGCAAATATCAACTTACGGTTATATATTTGATATATATAACATTTGCAATATATTTAAAAGAAATAAAAATTTAATAACATTGTGCAATTAAAATTTTATAATATGTCGAAATAAAAACAATTATTTTACTTTAAAATATCTGTGTTACTTTAATAACAACCTGCTGTAATAACAATTAAAAATCATGTAAATATGTAGATGTTTATTCCAAGCAAAAATTAAAATTAATGTAGAGAAATATTTATTGCATAATTTCTTGATAAATTTTAAATTTTATTAAATGCGTTATGATACTTTAAAAAAGTACTTAGGACAAAATACTTGTATTTTACGTGCGCTCACAATGTATTATGTAACGTTGAAAGATTGTGGGTGCTTTCCAATTTAAATATCCGTAGATACTTTCGTGCGCACAGCCATATAGGGCTGCGTTCAGAAACGTCCTCCGAGCGTCCCAGTTTGTTCTTTTATCCTTGTTGCTCACCGTACGTTAAACAGGGATAAAATGATACACTGGGGCACGCGGGTGATGTTTCTGAACGCAGACTAGAGTTAGAGGTCTGTTCGTATCGTATGCTCCAACATGTCGGGGCATGTGACGCGAACGGACCTCTAAACAGACGTCCAGATGGAGCCAGGAGCCATTAACAGAATAACAGACGTAGTTCAGTATCTCCTTGTTTTAGTCTTCATAGGTGCAGGCATAACAAAAGGCGGGAAGGGATCCGTAGAGACTTCACATAAAGTTATATAGAGTGCTGTTTAAATTGTTTAGTTAATTAATGTATTATATATTACGTGTGATTGATCCACGTTGGATGACACGATGACCGACGAATATCCAGATCCGGACGAGTCATTCGATCTTATCCATGAGGCGGACTATGAAGCTTTGAGAGAATTGGAAGGTAAACAGTATAATTATTGCATGTATTTCCCAACCACGATTGAAACATAGAGATAAGTTGAGACATAAATCGATTCTTGAGATCTCATTCAAGTATCTTACGCGAGATTTTATTTATACTCTATTATTTCTATTAAACCTTGTATCCTGTTGAACAAGTAATAATCGATTATATTTGCTTGCAGGTGAATTTCTTGCAACATCACAACCTGGTCCAAATCGTAACGGAGTATCTTGGACGGCTAATGGAAATAAACATCAAGCAGATGAAATTTCTGTACCTGTCAATTCGAATAAAGTAAACAATGTAGCTAGCAGTAAGAAATGCAGTTACGAAGAATTATCTGGTGATGCTGTACCTAGCAGTAGTAAGAAACGCGGTTACGAAGAATTATTTGGTGATAGCATACCTAGTACTAGTAAGAAACGCAATTACAAAGAATCGTTTGGTGATGGTATACCTAGTACTAGCAAGAAACGCAGTTACGAAGAATTGTTTGGCGACATTTCTGATTTCTTAGACACAGATGTTGCAGGTGTGGTAATTGGTAACAAAAATGTTACTTCATTATTTTTGAAAACGTTACTGAAAAATCGTTATTTTAGTTGATGTTAATATCGCGGAAGAACCGAGAGAGAAGAAGCTTCGATGGGATCAACCTGAAGATGTCATTAAAAAGATATTGGATACAAGACAATTGCTGCATGAACAAAATGGAGATACGTTTGTGAAGATAAATTACAAAAGGTAAATGAATGATTCATTTTACCCTATGATTTACATAATATAAATTACAATATTTTATCTATTACACTTAATATTTCTGTGTCTAATACAGCAAGACAAATTCCATTTCTTTACGAGTTCCACCATGGAATTTTGTGGCAGTCACAAGATCATATGATTCTCAACGCTTGTACGTCAGAGTCAGAAACGTACAGAATAATGTCAAGCAGCCCACAAGATTAATTGCCAATCTTTTATCAATACCTTATCAACAGTTGAAATCTCAGGCTAAAGAAATTGTATGTATGTCTATTTTTCAGTATTTTGTTATATTTTCATGCTACAATATCAACATGATGTACCAACATCATATTATAGATAGCAAGAAAACAGGAGTTATCAAGACAGCCATCGTCTGATCTGCATGATACAAAGAATGTGATTAACAATGAATTGTGGGTCGATAAATATCGACCTCGATCGTATCTAGAGTTACTGTCAGACGAAACCGTTAATAGGCAGTTTTTACATTGGTTAAAACTTTGGGATAAAATAGTATTTAATCGAAATATTACAAAGCCAAAGAGAAAGCAGCCGTCTATGTTCAAAAAGAAAAATGTTGAGAATGAAGAAGATATTGAGGAAGTGGATAGTAAAGGATATCCGATAAAGAGGATAGCTTTGCTCAGCGGGCCGCCTGGATTGGGAAAAACAACTCTAGCCCACATAGCAGCCAGACATGCTGGCTATAATGTCGTAGAAATTAATGCTAGTGACGAAAGGACTCCTGAGGCATTTAGGTAATGTACAAGAGGGATATTAGTGAGACATTAAAAAATTACATTATATTTTCATTTAGACAGATTCTTCTTGCATCAACGGAAATGAAAGCTGTGATGGGTGCTGATCCCCGACCGAATTGTTTAATTTTTGACGAAATCGATGGTGCACCGGCTGCATCCATTGAGCTTCTATTAAAATTTATTCAAGGCAAACTAGTGTCGAAAAGTAAAAAGGGAAAAGGACAGTCAGAAAAAACGAATGGTTGTACACGTCCTATAGTATGCATTTGTAATGAACTATATACTCCATCATTAAGGTAATTTTAACATCAAAGAAATCAACATAATGCTTTAATTTAATAAAAGAACAAGCGCTAATAAAAGAATGAATGTAATTAAAAATTTTACATTTATAGAGCATTAAGAGCCACCGCCGTAATAATTCAGGTACCAGAAGTAAGTCCTTTAAGATTAGCGGAACGTCTAACGAATCTGGCGAGAAAGGAACAGTTAAATGTAGACTTTGGAGATCTTGTAAAGATAGCAGAAAGATCTGGCTGTGACGTTCGAGCTTGTATAGGGACGTTACAATATATGGGTAGTGCTAATTTGAAAGATAATTTATCTCTAGGTCTGAAAGATACTCGTCAGAATTTGTTTGATTCGTGGAAAAGTATACTAACGATTCCTGTGAGGAAAGGAGGAGTTCTTACTATTCCTGAAAGAAGTCAAAATATTTTGAGAACTGTGCAAAATGGTAATTTTATAAAACTAATTATTTACACACTTTAATGCAATAATTTGAAATTAGTTTGTATTAAAATTTTTAACATATAGCTATTTTTTACGTATTTATTGATCTATTTAGGTGAAAAGGAAAAATTGGCACAAGGAATATTTCATAATTATCCTGAAGTCTGTGACCGGAAACTCGATAATGTACCTATATCTCTGGAGTGGTTTCAGTTTTATGACTTAATAACGTCGCTTGTTACACACAAACAGATTTGGTCACTGATGCCCTATACAAATTATGGATTTATCGCATGGCACTTGCATTTTGCGCGAACGCAAAAAATAAAATTGTCATATCCCACTGTTATGAACGAAGCAAGTATTATTTATCAAAAGAAAATTCTAATTAAAACTATATTTGGTCAGAAATGTGCACACTTTTTCTTTTTTAAACAATTATCTGGATCTAAGTTTTATAAGTATTGTATTATGTAGGATAATTGTTCATATTTTATCAGAGATCCTAGATTCATTCTTTAAAGTATTAACATATTAAAAATCACTATGTATTATATGAATATTATATAAATATTAGTTTTGTATTTTGTACAATTAATTTTATATGCTAATACTTTGACAAGTTTTCTAAATATTTTCTATAGTTTATTCATTATCTTTGCTATTTTTTAGGTAAATCAAAAATTAGCAAGGAACACAGGTATTTTAACAGCGATACGAAGAGTATGCGGACGTGACGTTTTTGCTCTAACTATAGATGTTGCTGGGTTCTTGCCGGATATTCTAGTGTCCAAATTACGCGTAGTTCCTTCCCATTTGTATTCACCAAAAGAGAAGGCTGATCTTGTCAGAATAGTAAACTTGATGCTTGAATTTGGTTTGTCGTTCGTGCAAGAGAAAAGTCTTCAAGGAGGATACATCTATAATTTAGATCCGTATGTTGTAATAACGATAGCTAATAAACAATACATGTTTGACGCAGATTCCTACTTAGAAAGATACATAACATCTTTTTTTTAGTAATATTTTGGAAATTGGCATTCTACCCAATTGCAATGCACATCGAAGTCTGGCATATGCTGTACAGCAAATAATTGCACAAGAGTTGGAGGTCGAGCGTTTGAAACGTGCAAGTATCTTAACGGGACTTGGTGAAGTTGGCTTGGAAAACGTGGTAAATCCAGGAAAGCCAGAAATTGTAGAAAATGCTCCGAATAGATCTTCTAATACTTCGAACACTACGAAACAATCTGGAAAAAATGTGACATCGTTAAAGGAAATAGTAAGTTCACGTGTTTCTCTTTTTTAATCGTCAATTTCATTATACTTGATTTTCAGGTGTACAAAGACTTTTTCGGAAATATTACGAAGGAACATGGAAGTGCTCAGAAACAGGATAAAATGGTGGATCGTATATCTCCGAAATCACAGAAAAGATATTTTCTGATGCAGAACATCTTAACGAAACATGGAATTTGGTACAAATATAAAGAAGGTTGCAATAACGCCGTTCGCCGAAGTATATTGATGGAGAAATTTTTATAAACAGATCAATTATAAATTATAGTGTATGACTATATTCTTGTATCTTTATTGCAAAAAATGTATAGTATTCTGCATTCTTTTTGTATCTTCTTTCTTTTGTGTGCAAGGTTTCTAGTTGTAATTAGAATGCATATTTCGTGAAAAGAAAAGACTGATTTTTCGACTTTTCAGTGTGAATGATTAATAAATCACAATATGACAAGTTGTTTAATTAGAACAAATTTGTTTTTTTTAGCGGAATTTAGTGGATTTTGTCTTCTACATTTGTAAATTCTATAAATATATGTTTATACATATATATATTTATAGTACAATTTTGTATTTTGCAACTGCTTCTGAGTTTAATTTAGACTTATTATTAAGGAAGTACTTGCTCAAAATATAGCTGAAAAATATCTCAGTTTTTACAGTTTTTTTATAAACAAACAACTTGAAAATTTTGTAACTTAAAATTTTACATATACAATAAAATAGTAAAGACATTGGAGTGAAAGAAGTGTTGATTTTTAAAATTTCGAGAGGCGTAACATGTTACACCGTGCTTCAAAGGATTAGCCGTATACAAACATATAGGTTCTAAGATATTAACCAACAAAAATTTTAATTAGTTTAAAAATTATTTACAAACGACCGATTATCTTAAATATAACATCTGACAATGAATACCGCTCTTAAGGCAGTTAGCAAAACGATGAACTTGCTAGAGCTTGCTCCAAGTTCTAGTTCTGAGAAACATGTAGCCAATCAACTGACAGCTTTTACGTTTCATTGGCTACACATTTCTCGGAACTAGAAACGGACAAACACAGTTCTTGGATCGTGGACACAAGGCTTAAGGCGTTTTCATCAGTCAGATCTTATGTTTAAGATTGGTCAACTATTAACTGGAGCTTAATCGATTCTCTGTCTCTCCTTGAGATAACAATATAGAAAAAGATGGAGAGTTGACTAGCCTATGGCCAACAGCTGATAAGAAAATAAAAATCCGGGCCTTATGTGATAAGATACCGTTTGATAGTATCTCGTTTGTGATGATAACGTATATATGACCGGTATTCAGTTAGATCTTGTATTCAAGACCGTTTTAAGATCATCTTTAGATACTCCGTAGGGAATAAAATATTCCACACATAGAATCTGACTGAATAGTGGCCTTGGACGTCGGTCTGCTAATCGTTTTAACCAGTTCTAGTTGTAAAGCAACGTGATGATGGTATATATCAGTCATGTATAACCTCGTTCTCATGTTCACTCTGTTCGTCTTTATTCGTTTAATATCCCAGTTAGCAAAATGTTAGCAGATTGGCATCAGATTCATCAGAAACCCACACCATAGCCATCTGCGTCCGCATTTGGCTCTTGTTTGGGCAACAGAAGGCTTGTTTTCTGTTGCTACACTGGTGAACTAAATTGGAGTAAGACAGGTATAGGTTTTTCATTCGAGCTTATTGCACTAGTTCACCAGTGCAGCAATAGAAAAACAAGCCTAGAGTCTGTAAAACACACGCTGTCGACAGATTGTTGGTAGAAACCGAGCAGGTCCAGTTATGTCAGTAGATTTCATTGTATTTCTGCTGACATACTGGCAACATGTCGAATATATCAGTTCCTGCATGCAGTCTGTAGTCTTTCTGCCTTCAAAATTTATAGTGCGCATTTGACGAAATCTGTTATGACAGATTTGACTATCTGGGTATTATATTGTATTTAATGTCCTCGTATACCTACTTTTGTACATATTTTTTAATTAATTTCTTTTTGTACTTAAACCACATTGTCTTACTTCTTCAAGTTTGTGACAAGAATGAAAAGTTATTTTACATTTAAGGAGGAGGAGAAGAGAGAAATACCGTCGACGTTAAGAAAGCTCTTAGCGGTTGATGCTTATTTGACTAACGTGTTCGTTAACTGGGCGGAGCAGGTTTCACTTTTGAGACAACTAAAAGCATACCACCGGGCCTTAGACGTGAGAGATTATTTATTTTATTTATTAAATGTGAAAATAATATAAACTACGTACACACATTCTTTTCCACTTACTATTATTTTCTCTAGATATCCTGCCATAGCGTAGCGTGGCTAGTAACTGATCTTATGTTGATCTGGGTTTTTAACAACTCAAATTTATATCAGATACAAGTTAATCTTTTAATAGGTATATTCAAGATAAAGCTTATAATGACATATGTTGTCGCTTTTAAAAATTATGTTAAAAGACAAAAATGATTTTTAGGTCTGATGCTTGATATTATTTTAGTTGTTATACTAAAAGCAATAGCAAGAAGGAGACGACCTACAATTGATGGCAATCTTGTTCCCGAGAAAGATTCTTTTCCTTCCGGTCACTCGACTCGTACAGCATTTATCACATATTTTTTTATTAATCTATGCCATGTACCCGTAATATGTATAGTATTTTTGTTAGCATGGTCCTTTTCGGTATGCGTGTCTAGATTGTTGGTGAGGAAACAATATATAATCGACATTTTAGCAGGAATAGTTTTTGGCATATTCCAAGGTTTGCTAGTAGGATACGTATACCTGGAGCAAGAGACTTGCGCGAGTTTAGTTTGGTGGATTACAGAGGAAAAAATATCCGGAGCTGAATACGATGTTTGAATATATTGTTATTGCTTATGCAAAATAAATAATACACTTTGTTTTTGTTTTTATCGAGGCTATGGTTATAATAATTTGCAAAATATGGAATAAATATTTTTAATAAATGGAAAATATTTAAATATCACGAATGAAGGCTGAAATTTCGCCCAGGGATAGTAAAAGATTGGTTGAAACGTTTATTGTTCCATTTTAAAAAGTGGAGGTGACCTTCATATTTGTTTTGGCGCCTCCACCTAGAAAAAAAACCGGCCAAAATACGTGCCTCTCGAAATCCTAAACTTTTGGCTGAAACATGTTTTTTTATTTTGCCTTAGATATTTAGGCGTCGCTCAATTTATTCAAAAGTAAATGATAGACACGACAAGTCAATTGAAAGGAAAGCATTACAAATATTTTTTTTATTATATAGCAAAATCGTTTTGAAACGAGTATTTTTTTTAACATTGCCCTTCTTTATTTCTTGTGCTCTTTATTTCCTTCTTGATTAACAAAATCGTTCATTTTTTTTTACATATCTGCATTTCTCAAGTTCTTTTTTTCCATATTACCAGCACATTTTATATGGTACCTATTCTGTGAACAGATTATATAAAATTCTCGTAATCGAAACGACAGATGCGAATATTCAATCTCCCTCTTTCTTTTCCCCACAAGCTCATAACTTTACATATTAGCCACTGACTACATTGCATTACGTGCAGTGTAACGACTCACGAGTTACGATAACGTTGAACGCTGACAGTGATAGATCCAGAATAATTTATTGACACAGACCATTGATATCGAACCATTTCTTTAACTGTAGTCCTTATAATCTCTGTAGAATGTCCCGCTACTTGGACTGTACATCCTGAAATGTTAATGAGTATCGTGTCTATACATCTACACATGATAGCCTGCAATGATATTGGTACGGTCGCATGAACAGTCTTCAATTAATAATGCAAACGTTTGCCAAGATACTATATGGCTCTCTCACAAGCCTACTTATACGTTCCAATATGTGATACCTAAACTAATTGCCATGTGTTTCTAGAATGTCTACACACTTTGCGTACGGACATACAAGCGGTTTTTCCCTTTTCTACGCATTACGTGTTTGTAGGTGTTACTTCAGTAAATATCAATCAGTCGTTAAAAGCGCTTGAAGCAAAATACTCAGGGTAGAATTACAAGATTTTCGTCTTTTCTCGTTAATACAAATAGGATACATTGATACGCACTTAATTAAAATTATTATTAGATGCGAAAAACTGTATACCAAAATTGCCGTAAAACAATCACACTGACATAGCGCACGCGTCGGAAATACAGATGCCAAATTTCGCATGAAAGAAATCTGTGGTAGGACTTGTGTTCTAAAACAATCCGTAGAAAATTCCTCAACGTGTCACATCACTCACCCCATTTTATTCCTATAACAGAACCGCTGCTTTTTGACGCATCACCTCAATGCAATCATTGTGAAATTTCCCCCTTTTGGATGATGCAATTATTACATAATATTTGAGACATTTTCCTATCGGCATATACATATTTTTCTATCTACTATTTTATTATGTTGTAATGTGGTCTCCGTTTACGAAGCAGTACATACTTATTAATCAATACTATAATGAGAAATCCACGAATACGACCGCCAAATATATAAATAAATAGTTATCCTGATGAAAATATTTTACTGAAAGTGGATATAATAAAGTTTTGCTGAAATCTATTTGACAATTTCGCTTAATTGATCCCGTTTCATTATCATTTCGTTAATATTTCAGTAACAATTTCATGAAAAATCAAATTTTTATTAATTTTTATTTCATTAAGTTTTTAATTATTTTTTAATAGTGTATAAGTATACTAATATGGTATACTTTAACTTTTCTTATATTTCACAATGTTACACTGAATTTTATAAGGAAAATTATGATTTATTTTAAGGTATATTCAATAATTTTGCAATAACTTTTATTTTGTTTTTCATCAATTTCATGATATAATACTTTCAGCAAACTATTTCCATCCTAGATTTTTCCTTCCTAGATAATTTTAGCTACATACTCAGAGAAGCAAAATCAAGTTTAGCGATAACTCAGATTAATCTGCTCCATCCTAAGTTTCTCCCTCCCTCCCCCTTCCCCGCACACCGGAGAAAGAATAATGAGAAAGATCACTACATATTAGCCGGATCGTTTCACCACAAGGGTGAATGGTAAAACTTGAGATCTAAGTGGCCGTGTTGATTGGTACCAGTAGCCACTTCCTGGCTGCACGACGGTGACGGCTTCACGTTCTTCTCCGCCTTCTCGGCCTCCAGCAGGACAGGGACGAAAGGCTTGGTCTGATTGTCTGGTACGACGGGCGTCGGGACAGTATTCATCTCAAGGCTACGTTGTTTCTGCTCTTCCTCGGAGTAGATGCTCAGGGAGCGCGGCCGCTCCAGTTTCAGTGGTGGTGGTGGTAGCGGCGCGCTGCCGCTGTCGCCGTTGCTGAAAAATCAACTTGCTCATCAAGTCGCGACAAATTGGTGATGTGAGCAAGTGATATACGATCAGCAGCAATATGCAATCACACACGTCTCTCTGTCCTGTCAGTCTCGAGTTCGTGCCGATCTGTTCACGTGGATATTCTCTAGATGAAGATTTTCCTTCGTTCATCGGACCCTGATAATGTAAAACTAAAAAGAAAATTCTAACAGAAATGTATAAACACATGGCACGATTTTGTTTTGTCATAAGTTAAAAGAAACGATTGGGAGATTAAGAAAAAGGAAAGTATAGATCATGACGAACATACATATATAAAGTTCATGGTGGACCTGCGTGAAACATAGTTTTCCAATTTCCAGAATCAGTCTCTTGGAATTAAATACATTGTTTTGACTCTTTTTTTTCTTTTGGGTTTCTCATGTCTAACAAGTAACAATCTAATACACATCCGGCGTGTGTGTGTGTGTAAAACATTAAAACAAGTCAAATATTAAGATTGACGGTGACCTGTCAAAATCTTATGAACAACACAATTTCAAAATAGCAATTCTTATATACAGTAATATGTACAAAAGTCCATTTCGTACAATCGTATGCATAAGCTATAGAATGTTGCTTAATTATGGAAACAGAACACTCAAATAAAATTTTCACTGCTCCTATTCAAATAAATATCAAGTTTGGCAAATTATACAACTAATATAAAAAGTATACACCCACTAAACACTAACCAACAATTACATAACATTAATAACTATAAGTTCCACTCAACAATATAAATGTAATATGTTGTACATACATGTTGTACATAACGGTGTTGAGGAAATTATAATATTAATGCTATGTAACTATTAGTTGTGGTATTTGAGTAATTGACTTGCAATTATTACGATTATTCATGCATCGATAGAATTTACTCTTTCGCAAATGAGTAACTTCCTTGATTTTTCCGATATTTATACAAATAATTTTCAAAATAAGGCCAAAGCTATTTCGCCAAGATTATTTTTCAAAATACTTGCACATTTAGGATTGCATCTTGATGTTTTAGATTATGAATAAAAGTTAAAAACGAAAACCTCAATCTTTCGCGTGTACAAAAGTTGAAGAATATCAGGATTCCTGCACGGCTTCGTGTCACCTTGGTCAAAGGGAAAGTAAATGTGATTATGTGCGCAGCAAATTAGCAAATAAAACTTTATTAATTCATAAATATAAATGCTACTAATTACGTACAAACTTACAAACTACAATATACACAGAGCGCGTTAAATAAATAGAATGTACAAAGTTTCACACTCATAAATTATATAAATTAAGCTGGAATGTGCGTGCATGCGTGCGTACGTATAAACAAATATTGATTTCTAAATATATCGAAAAAGAAGAAAGTTCTTTTAAATTTTCTACACTTCGCTATCTCTTTCATTTCTTTTTATAAGTGGAACTAATCCATATTTACATATTGCGATATTACAAATGTTCTCTATATGTATAGTGCGTTTTAGTAACCTTCTTATTATACATATATTAGTATAATTATATTATTTAAATTATAATCATTGCTTTATGTGACCTATTACGTATACAATATCATGTATAACATTATTAATATACGCAAGTCAACAAGTTTCACTGTATAACAATTAACTGTATAATTAATTTAATGGTTTATCTACGTACGGAGAGAGGAATATGTATAGTGGAAGTAATTTCTTTGAAGAGAGTCGTATAACTTTGACGTAAATTGTACAAATTTTAAACATATGTGTATCATCAATCAGTTAATATAACGTGACGAATTAAAGAGGATTAGTTTTATTCCACACATTTTTAACATTAGAAAAATGACAAACACAACATATTAGTATTATCACAAGAATAAATAATAAAATTTATTTTAAAATATTTGGAAATATTGATGAATTACACGGTCAATTTTATACTATTTTTCTTATTTAAAACACCAAATTTATAAAATTCGAGTTCCGTTTGAAATTCATAGGATCTGAAATCTAAGATTTGAACAACTGAGATAAAAGATTTATTTGCCTACGTATATCCTGGCAAGAGATAGCATTTATGCATTTATATTGTTTTGGCAAACTGTCTCTTTCTTTCTCTTTCTAAGACAATTGAGCATTATACATATATCGTTATATGTTTAGTTAATTTACCGACTAACTGGACGTTTCAATATTACAGGTAAGAAAATAAAATCGATAGTCATTGACGCGAAACATTATCACAACGAATTATTTGAAGTATTTTGAATTATTTAAAAAGCTTTAGATATTGAGCACACACTTTAGTAAGATTAGTTAAAGCTTCGGTGGTGATTGTTACAAGGAAAAACATTTGTCTACGGTGCAACAAGGCAAAAATAAATATAAATGCAGGCTACACGTACTTTCATAATTTTTCTCTCACAGTTCCGCTATTTAAAATGCGTTACGTCCACTGAGTATCATTTTGTTATCATTTTGCTACCATTTTGCTTTTTATGACTAAAAATTTCTGAGTTTCTTAAAAATTAAATTTGTTGCGTAACACACACATAAGCACACACACACACACACACACACACAAGCACACACACACAAACACACACAACCATGAGAGAGAATAGCCTTTCAAAATATCACAACCAAAAGAATATTATTGCACATAACAATATCTCTTTCCTGTGCAATACTATTATTACGCATAATAATCTTCAATTAAATATGAAGGAAAATTATAAGATAAGCACAGTTTGCAGACTCAGACTGGATCATCTCAACGATCATTGCGTAAATTATACTCACCCTGTATGCTCGGCTGATTGACCAAGCATCGCTGTGTTATGGATAATCTAGAAGAAAGCGTTAATTTATATAATTAGTCATGTTATGCTACATGTTACAAGAAAAGAATACTGAAAGCTTGAAAGATAATCAAGTTTGTACAGTTAGTTTCCAAGTATGCAACAACATTAGATTTCAAACAAAGACAATTTCTACAAATATCCATATCTTGCCAATAAGACATTTTTTACACTTGATTAAGAAATAATAAATATTGTCTGTGTAGGACATATGTATAGATCTCTCTCCCTCCCCCCACTCTCTCCTTCCTTCGCTTCCTTCTCCGTAATACACCTCGAAATAATTTACTGAAACTATTGTGAAATGGATGTGGCCAGTAAAATAAAAATTATTAAAAAATTAGTAAATGTATCTCAAAATAAATCATAATATTTCTTATGAGGCTTAATATACAATATACTGTTAAATATAAGGGAAATTAAAATAGACTTTGAGTTGAAAAATAATAAAAATATTATGATATATTAGATATCAAATTTACTAAATTCAACTATGTTACTTTTTAATAAGAAAATCTTGAAATATTATTGAACTTTTACAGAAATATTAATGAAATAATGAAACGGAGTCAATTAAGAGAGAGAGTTTCAAATACATTTTAACAAAATTTTGTTACATGTATTTTCAGTAAAATATTTCCACTAAGGACATTACAATTTAACAAAAGTAGACATATTCATGCGACAACTACTATAAAGGAAACACGGCAGCAATTTAGAAAAGGATTCCAGCTACTTCTTTATGTTGTTGTACTCACATTTGCCATAGAACAAGGCGGTCGCGCAGCGGCATATCTACCGAATGTGCTACGCGAAACGGATGCCGTGTACGGTATACCGTTGAGACTGAAAAGCGATATATCATTTTCTTCTGTACAACTGCAAACGGCTTTATGACTCGCATCTGTCGTCTTGTAGTCGCACAATGTTCGACTTGACGCACCTACCTAGCACCGTTCCTTCCGTTGTCGTTGTTGCCCGACATACTGTCGTCCAAGTTCGCTCTAGGAGGTAGGCTATATCTATTGCTCTTCACGTCTCGGCTTTCTGCAAACACGAAAACGACGATAAGTGATAATCACACACGCAGAATATGTGATGCAAAAACAAAAGCCCACTCAAGTAAATATATTCCAATGTTCCTGAATTTCAGATTAGAGATTCTTTCAGTGTAACTTATAGATAGATAACAATTTGTTCACTTTAGCTTACAGCCAAGAAGTGGGACTTGGTTTACAATTTAAAACATATATTATACATTCGTCCTTTTCCATTCCTGTTTTACAGATTCTTACATAAACCTATTTCTTAAATCCTATATAATTCAATACGAAATTAATTTATTCCATTGTTTTGCGTCATTTTGTTTAGTAACGACTTGCGAAGTTGATGACGTTTTTCGAGAATTTCGAAAAAGTGTTTAAAAAATATTTTAGAAGCACATTTTTCATCATCTTTCTGATATGTAAATTAGAAAAATTTGTTTTTGTTCGCTTCGTTTTCTCTTCTCTTTATATAAAACACCAACTACTGGATTCAATCAATTTTTAAGTAGCCATTTTGCCCTATTGGTGCTATTCATTGTTTTGCAATCGCATTTTCTTTTTAATATTTAGTGCTCTATTTTCTGGCGAATAAAGCGCCCATCGATTTCTCAAGACCGTATTATCAACAAAATTAAAGTGGCTGTACATAATTAGCATAAATGTGACTCAACCAGCGACTCAGCGTATAGAGAACTTGATCGATCGCAGGTATAATCGAAGCATGAATCGTCCTTAGCACGGCATTGGCCGCGATTTGACTCTCCCCAAGCCAGTGTGTTGCCAATGTTAATTGGGATGCGAGTGACTCACCTCGTAGGGCAATCCAACCTTCAGAATCAGATCGACAATGTCTGACCTTGCGTAGATAGACACCTTGAAGCTCAGCGAGAGAGCACCGATTGTATCACGGGAGAAGGGGGGGAAGAATTGAATCAGTTATTTCAGAGAGAAAGAGTACAAGCTCTGCACAGAAAGTAAAAACTTTCAGAGGAGAGAAGAATATCGGTCTTTTTTTTTACATTTATTTATCAACCATCGTTACTATACTTGGCACTTCAGAATCTCGTGTCGATGAATTCATGGAATTAATCGCGCTATAGCGCTTATCATGCTTCTGATAACGAGACCGACTGGTATACCGATTCTGCAGAAATAATCGACGAAGTCTTAACGTGAGACCTATCTTTGACCGCGTATATTATCGCAATTTATCGTTCACCGGAAATAACTGTTCCAGTTTCTTGTAAGAGAAACGAAGCATTCCATACGGTGCTCTTTTTCATAATGAAGCGCTAACGTCATTTTAATGTAATTTCACTTTGCTTCAATATTCTTTTGTAAGATTCTTTATCATAAACGTTTGCAAGCACAAAAAAGATTATACATGTGTCAGGAATATAATAAAACCTGGCAAACAATTTTCTATATAAAAACATGTATGTGTGTTGTATATGCATGTGAATATTTTCTTTTTAAGGTGGCTCCTGCATATAAACCGATCAAAAGTAGGAAAATTTGAAATTTAAGTATGTTTGTAGTTGTAAATTTTGTCTATTAGTACGCGAAATTTCAGACCCGGTCGCCGATGATATAAAAGAAAGAAAAAATATTAAGTTGTACTTTTTAACATCCCAGTAGACACCCATGTCATATTACATCTACAATATTGATATTATGTAACTACCCAGAAACTATTTTGCACGCAAACATCTAGTATTATGACGACGCACTGGGATAGGATGTTGCTTGCGTTATTGAGCCATTTTCGTATGTGAGTTGTTAGATATTTGCACGCAAAACATGAGTTAACCACTTGCGTGCAAAAGCACAGACTAAACATATCTTACGTGCATAACGTACATTACGTAAATAATTACGTACCGTCATCAAAGAATCCTTCAAAAACAACAAATTTATTGTTCTGCGGAATAATCTTCGAGAGTCCGTAGTATTTGTGTAGAAAAGCCAAGAACTTGTCCGACGGTCGATCGATTGCCAATTTCACTGGTCTAATGTTCTCCTCCTATGAATAAAAATATTAATTTTATCACAAATACAATAATATAAAAATATATTAATGTAAAAATATACGAATAAGGGAAGGAGATAAAATAAATAGCTTGAAAATAAATATTCACATTATTGCAGTCTTACAATTAATCTGGGACTTGACATAGTTACTTACAATTAATTGTTTTCACGAAACTGATCATAATTTTGTATGTTGTTTTACAGCCCAATTAAAAGTCGCTATTAATTATAATAATATTATAATTGGCTAGGGAAAGATAAATGGAGCATCAGATTTACTCAATATTTTCTAAAAAAGAATAAAGGAAATGAACAAAGTAGTTATAGATTCTAGATTAGTAAAAAGAACCACTGTGACCAAGCTTTATTTTCTCAGTGCTGAATGTGAAATGTAAAAATTATCCTATGATCATTTCTTCCCACATAAATTGGATACCCTAAAAGAGCAAGATATTATCAGCTTTAGAGCAAAAAGAAAGATAAATTAAAGAATTTGATTATACATATATGTAGCACCTTTATACATGCGCACTTTTCTGAATGTCGCGATATTACTTCGCCAGACTTTTAAACATTCAAGTTTTTGACTATGCATGTACTATACGCGATTGTGGAAGAATGCAGCAGCGTAAATGTGATTAACTTTCATAGGTCAGACTTTCATACGCCACGCCACTGAACGTGATTAATCGCCCTTGATGCAAAACCGGGTTAATTTTCAAGTATCAGTCATTTCACGTAAAAGGAGTATGATTAGGAGAAAACGCCCGTCGGTGTACCACTAAACAAAGTGACGAACTATGCCGAAACAAAACGGACCGGACGAGTTCAGTCACCTTGCGAGTTACCTTCAAGCGTAACACCTGGCCGTCCTCCATGTATTGTGCACGATATAATGACCTTTTGTCACGCGTCTATTTAAGATCGGTCACGTTTTACGCGGATTCCGACCGCGACTCGCGAGAAAGTTGCAACGACCACGAAATAGCTTGTATACTAGAAAATTACAACCGCGCAAAAGATAAGAAAGTCCCAGGCACTTAAAGCGGGCATTTCGCCAAGTTTCAGATGGTATCAGCATTAATGCTAGAGAGAATTACATCGCGTTTCTGATTAGGCTTTTCTATTCGGCCTGTAAAACTGCACTATCGTCTTTAAAGGAGGAGAAGGACCAAGAGCGCTAAAAACTTATGAATATTATTTTATTCTCTATTCTGTGATAATTGACTCGAATAATTAAATAGTAAACGTATCGGCTTTAATAAGCCTTCTTCAGTCCAATTTTAAATGTCATATTGATATTAGTGAGACAATAATACAATAATTAAGATTTCCTCGTAACATATAAGAGTAAAAATAAGACATCATATTAGGGTGAATAACGAACATCAAGTAAACAAATAAAAATATAAGCGTAAATTAAAAACCTAAATATCAGAACAAACATCAACAAGAGGTTATAACAAAGAATAGGTAACAATAATTCCTGTATAAAATCTACATTTTTTAAATAAGAAGAATCGAGTTATGATGCTAAAGGATTGGTGTAAATTAAAGTCAATTGTTTAAGATGTAAATAAACGTTCTTCATTTGGAGGTGAGGATACACTGCAAAATATGTCCGCTCTAAATTCTGCGAAATTATAACGGAAAAAAGTGACTTTTTCCACTTTAAGTAAACGTGAAATTAAAGCGGAATTGCGTATACAGGACATTGTCCTAATAATAATGTAAAAAATATTGTAAAAAAGAAGTTTATGATTATTATCTTTAATACATGTGTAAGACACCGATGCTGTGTAACTCTGCAAAAAGTCTCGTTAACATATATACTCCAGCAGAGAAACTAAAATCAATTTCTACTATCATCAGAAATCGTTATCTGTCTGTATGTATCTCACACGTTGATGACGTACACTGTTGGATACGTAAATAATTATGACCTCGTACTTTCGAATGACTCATAGTGTGAGGTGTGAGTGAAGGGATATAAGCACATCTAATATGACGCGAGTTTAGTTGAGTTTCAGGTTTTATTCCATTCGGTACTAATCGATGTTATTTAGTGAAATCCTACACACAGTCGAGTACGACAATACGCGAGTTTACTTTGTGACCGTGCACATTTTTTCTTATTGTTTTAAATCTTATTGTGAAAAATTTCTTACTGTGTTAAAAACTGAAAACTCACCTAGAGAAATAACATATTATATTATACCATAAAATATATTAATATACACCCGACATATATAATTCATTTTTAATTAAACGTTTGTAAAACATCTGTAACTTTTTCAAAATTCTTCATGCGATAAAGGCGTAGAATATTTTACTTAAATAATCAATCTGGATTTAAAAACTCTATGTAAAAGCAATATGGGAAAAATTATTGAATTATTTTTATGAATTCTTGATGGAGACAAGAAAATTATATTAAATGTAATAACCTGGAAGCATGTTATTTGTAGAAAATTAAGTTTCAGATTTATTACGAACTATATTGTGCGCACAAAGAAATCTGATGTTCTAGATAAGATTCCGTCGAGCGAAAAAATAAAGAATGGTTGCCTTCTTTCGTTACAGTTCTCTGCACTTGTCCTCACATGACACCGATTTCAGGGTTTTGAGTCCTCGAGCGGAACGATAAACGGTTTATAGAATTTCCAGTTTTTCTCTTTGTTAGACGCATGTACATAAGTATATGTTATACTTTACTTAAAAAAATTATTTCTCCCTGAAATTTTCTTTCAAAAGTAATTATTAATTTTAACTTCTTTGTACTTGTGTTGCTTTTCAATTCGCGTAGATGCGTTTATCGTGTATTTTTCTTAAATAATATAAATTGCCACGTTGTGCATCTATATTTAAAGTACTACGGTTAATAAAAAAAATTAATAACAAATATCTTGCATTTATTAACATACCAGTACTTATTCATTTTTAATTAATTTTCGTTTAAGTATATTGCATATTAAAGATGATTTTTACGTGCTAGGAAAGTACATTGCAACAAAATTATTTATTCGAAGTGAATGTTGCCAGTTTGTTGCGTAGATATCATTCATTTTCTTTTCTGTCGCTGCGTAACTGCAATTGCAACGGTCAAGCCTCTGTTTCGCATGGAGCTAAATCGTGATCGCGCGCGACGCCTTCTGCTTCCCCGCAGGAAGTAATTACGCGCCTCATACCGGCGCATCGAAGATTTGTCTTTGAACGAGGAAGTTCGGGCATCGTGCAACGGAAACTCTCTCTCTTCACGTGAGAACGGCCCGTTTCTCGCGGTCTCATTAACATACAATTATCAAGAGAGAATGCTACATCAATTAAATTGGTTACTTTCTGGCAAACTTCTTAAAAATGGCAACGGTGGAAATATTTCATTCTATTTTACGTAATAAAACAATTAATCGCAGCATAATAACGTAAAGATACCAAGTTACGGTATTTACAATAATTAAATCCTGCAGGACTAATCTTCATCACGTGTTTAATTATTCATTAACACTCGCTTGCGTGAAATATTATTCAGACTTCTAATCGCACACAGAGGTACACTTTTTCCCTCAGATATAATCTCAAGGAGGGATTTCGAGATTATCGTGTATTTTTCTACTTTTAATTTGTTTTGCATTAACTACAATTTTATTAATTATAATTATTACCGATCAAAGTTCCTTAATTATATCTATATTCGTAATTGTAATGCTTCTGAATTGTGTATACGTGTTGATTTAAACTTATCCATACAGGCGGTTCTTCACCGACGAAGTTAATCCGAGGTTAATGTGTTAAAATTAAAAATTGGAAAATAAGCGTACGCTGAACTTACAGATAACATGTGTTGATAGAGAATATTGCCCAGACCCATACGCTGTCGCGACTCGTGCACGTAGAAATCCAGGATGCATCTCGCCTGCAGCTGATAATGCTCCCCTGTCTCGCCGAACAGAAACAGATTCTTCGATCCCGTTTTCAATAATCCCACCACGCTACCGAGTCCGCTGTAAAATCAAGTATACGCCATTTTATGCAAGGAATGAATCACAGTCTCTAGCGAGACAACTTTGGAGGACGCTATATTACGTCGTCATCTTAACGATCACCAAGTGTTGCGTAATATCTTATATATATGTATGATCTGATCTTGTATCTTATAAGCGTTTTCATCGCAGAATATAATAATTCTTTACAAACAGTTGAAAAACACAGGGTTTTCAACATTTAACTCCGTGGTAGCAAGGTACAAAAGTCTAATGTTATGTACGGATTAATTTTCATATCTCAATATAAACAATTGTAATTTAGAACTTGATCAGAATGTTATAATCTCAACATTACAATCTAAACAGATGGAACGGAAACGCGTTTGTCTTCCTTGATATTCTCGTTGGAAGAGAATCAAATGAAATTGATCAAGGTATTTGTTTAGACAAAGGATGGTTTAATAATTCTATATATATTGTGAAAGTATTATATTGCTTAATTAGATAATCTTAAAGGCGAATTATCCAGATGGAAAGAAAACTCATGCCGACAATTTTAAAGAATATCTGCCGAATGTAACAATAATAAAAACTCTTTTATTTTTCATGATTTTGATGGAAATTTTTAAAATTTTTATTAAGAACTTTAAAACAATTTGAGGAAGACGGTGAAACTTTGAACACGGTGTTGTTTACACAGACGATAGACCTAAATTATAAATAAATATTCAAGTAATAGATATTGCATTGTAAGTGAATTTATCCAAATAAAGAAAAAGCTTACTTGTTTGCGTCATTATCTACGAGCAAATAAATCGTGTGATCCGTGTCGTGGAGTTTAAGGGCGCTAGTGATAGGCTTAGTGAGTCCTTGGGCCCTCGCCGATGCCTTGCCCATATCGTCCAGTATTCTGCTCAACAATCTCTGAAATTCGCTGAAAACAGAAGATATTTATTAGTCACTTACATTTATATTTGCGGAACAACCAAATAAGTCGAACACAGAATGATTCGCATTAGCAGATTTAAATGTACATATGTGGTGATGTACATTTACGCCTTACATAAATCACACGCCAGAAACTTCTTTTCTATACATTTATTTTTATAACGCACTCAATTGGGAAAATATAATCCAATTAACACTCTCAGAAGTGAATCTCTGAGAAGATTCTGAACATTAAAATATTAAGAATTAAGCGGACATTGAGAATTTCATTTCTGATCAAAATTGTTGAAGTATATTGAATAACTGTTGTCGATACCTTTTAAAGTAAATAGCGATAAAATAGTGAGCAAAAAATAATGTCTCGATCGAGCATTGCTGTTTTTTAACGCTGTACTACGCAGGCAGCGATTTATCGCTGAAATAGCACGAAACAGACACGTTCTACTTTCCTTTTGCCTCATCTTAACATTTTATGCTGTAAGCGTCATTCTCGTGGATCTATGCTAATTAATTCCAGACAGCAAAATTAATTTCGATCAGGAATTTAGGACAAAACGCTTTTCAAAACTAGCGGAAAGTAGCGTGAGTAAGTATAGAAAAAGCAGGAAGTACATTTATTATTAGAAGAAAGTATCCAGATAAACTTTTATGTCAACGTAATTTCTTTTTACATTAAATAAGGAGAATAATCAAAAACTTTATCTTTAAATACCGCTCATAATTGCATAAAATTGACGCAATTATTCAAAATAATAATATGAATTATTTATTTAAAAAAATTTGATTTATAAGAGATAAGATAGAACATTTTTTATGCATTCAATAACCCGTGATATTAAATAAATTGTAAAACTGTATACTTTCATATTTGAGATTCGACTTGAGTTATACAAAATGACACGTTAGAAAATTAGATGCATGCAATTCGTATCACTTTAATGATTCCTCATGTAACACATCATTCGGTTACAAACGGTGACCTGATTCACGTTTTGGCCGAGCGCCAATCCGCTTAAAATACAGAAGGAGTTAATTTATTCTATCGGTATTATATCTTCTTCTATGGTCATTGTGCTATAGGCGCAAAATGTGATGGATTGCAGACGATGACGTGAGTAATCACCAAGTATGAAAAGCTGCATTGCGAAATCTACCGCTCTTGAAGACATGAAAATTCACGGAAGTATCTTACATAAGACGCCCACTTTTAACAACAGACTGTTTAATTTCATAATCCATTTTCTTATCGTTAGTTTTTAATTTACGAACAGATATCGAGGCTTTTTTCAAGCTGTAAGTTGTATGCGTATATGTGTAAGAATTTATTATATACATAAAATTGAATAATTGTGTCTCAAACCATTTAGAAGAAGAGTTTTTATACATTTAGAAGAAATATTATTGTGTAATTTTAACTATTTAAAAAATGGTACTTTTCTCCACGACCATTTTGTGTGTTACATGATAAACCGAAAAAAATTCTTTGACTCAAATATCCATCTTCAATTTAACACTTAATTGGTTGATATACTGAGTCAAAATGATCCAGACTTCGACCTTGGCGTAAGATCAATTTTAAGTGTGCTTAAAAATGATACCACTGGCATCATTTAGTGGTAATTTTTATTTTTCGTCATTTTTATAAGAATTGTTTTCAGCATGATGTTACTTTAACATTAAGTTGTCATAATAAAAATATATTCCTCAAAGTTTGAAGCTTGTGCCATAATTTTTTCCAGCAATATAATGAAATGCCCCAAGGAAGATATAAATATTTTTTAGACATTTTCTTCATCATTTAATCTTAATGTCGACTAGATACGTTACGTCTCTCTCAACATCGTTACTCTGGTTATATCTGACAATGTCATTGACGCTGGAAACATTGCACGTTGCTTCCATAAAAACGAAGGATCAAGGTAATCAAGAAAGTAAGATATATCGATCAACCTCGCACCTTAAAGGAGTGTACATAGATTACTGGCGCTTCTTGTTCTAATATCGTATCTTTTCTCTACATTTGAAATTACTGACCGAAATAATTTACCACGTATATATTAAATATTACGAGCGAGAACTATTAATCACATTTAACGAGAGCAATTTGTGCACATGAGAGGCATTAGTAGAGCTTGCAAAATACTTAAAGAATGGTCATACTTTAATGAGATTATAAATTACAATATATAGCTTGCAATTTACGTCAACTAATGAACTATAATTCACCACCCATGCAGAAATAATAGTACTTTCTAATCGACAATAAAATAATAAATGAGTATAAGTAAGTATGCAACATAAAATGTTGCTACAGAGACAATTTTATAATTTTATCATCTTTTCTGAGAAAGAATTGGTCTTATTAGTATTAATATACTAATGCTATGGAAAAGTTATCATTACGTGACTTAATAATTTGTGGTTTCGTCTTATAAATCAATACAACAGGTTTTAATATATAGTTCAGTCGGTACATCACGATCCTACGCGTTATCTCCCTTTGCACATCGTATAAATATATCTCAGTTAAATAGCTGCAATTTTGTGTAATTTTCTAACGTATTATATATCAAGATGTTATACGAAATGAATGCCACATTGCACGTTGCTTCACGATATTTAATGGTTACTGTCGAGGGGTAAACCGCTAGGGGCATTGTGGTGTACAAATTTGCGGCATTACTGGGCATTACTAGGCACTTTTTGGGCATTAATTTGGGCACTAGGTCTTGCTGGGGCATCATAAAGATAAATAAGATAAAATAATAAGATAAAGTAATGCCCACTGGGCATCAGTGGGCATTGGTGTACATGATTTTGGTCAGCGGTTTACCCCTCGGTTGTTGTGGTTATTGTTAAGTCTTTCCTTTTTACACAATTATATACACAATATTATTAACATTACATGATGTTATTAGTATTTTAAATTTTTAGTGCTCCGTCCAGCATTAATATAAATAAAATTTCAAATTTCAATCGGCCCCAGCCGGCCACATTTATTGAATACGCTTTCGCAACGTTTCGACCGTTCGCCAAATTGTGGCTGTAATTTCATTTGACAAACTCCGTAACAAGGTAGACAATCTTTCCGCGATACTGTACAATTCGTATATACTTCTCGCGTAAACTGTATGTAAAACATTCACTCCTAGATCTCACTTGATAAGGACCTAAACCGAAGAATCGAAACGTTGTGAAAGCGTATTCAATAAATGTGGCCAGCTGAGATTCGATTGAAATTTGAAATTTTATTTATATCGATACTGGCAATCTGATGAAATATACCATTTCAACATTAATATGTTTAGAACCTGAACAACTGTTAGATGCACATATTTACATTTGCATCTTAACGCGATTAAGATCTTAATGTAATTCGCAAGATCGCGCGGTCTTTCAAGACGACTATTTCCGATACAAGAGTATAAAAGGAGATTGGAAAAGGGCGATTCCGCGCTAATATCGGGATAGCAATCAATTTTGTGGAGTATATGCTGACGTGTAATCATTGTGTCCACTACTCCCGTTAAGGAGGGCAGGCGGTCTGAGACTGGGCTTTCCGTATATAATAGATAGATAATGAGAGACAAATCTCTCGTGAAGAGAAACCAGCGACTTCTATAGAACCATTTCGTCATAGACTTCCGCGAGCGTCGCGAGTCACTGCCCAAGAATTCGATGGAGATTGTTGCAAGTGAACTGCGAGTTCCTTGAACCGAGAATCTACGGTATATACAGAAGCTCGTTCGACTTTACTGTTTAAAAATACTCATTTATTTCACAAAGTTTCTCATTAATCCGCGAACTTTCTTTCACGATGAAAAATTCTCGGAAAGAGTCGGTGTTCTACCATCCGCTCCTCATTTAGAGAGATAATTGCATTAATTATCCTTTAATGGTGTTGGTAAATTATCCGAGATGTGTACTATAAATTACGATAAAATTTTATATCGTCAAAAATTAACGAATGGACACCATGTGCCCTTAAGAAGTAATTTATTACGAAAGTGAAGCTCACGGTATATCACAATTTCGCAACAAACGAACGAATTGAACAAATGTTGAAGTGCGGAATCTTATCTAGACTTTATCGCGAGAATCGCTTGTGCGATATATCTTGACCTAAATCTTAATTAACAGAATAACGTAAAGTTACAGAGCTCTCTGCGTGCAATTTCTCAATATCCCGCCCTGGCTTTCCACCAGCTACGTAAACATTCCGCAATCATTATGCCACGATGGCAAAGAAGATGTCAGCGACATTCGTTTAACAGGACAATCACATAAATTTCTCGTATCAGTTGTGAATCCCGCTGTAAAAAATTGCAAATTTAATTGATAACGAATTAATAAGTGACGTCACGTCGACGATATTACATGCAAATTGCTCAATAAGTGTAATACGACAGAGGAGAAAGAAAATAACGTGGATAACAATATCTCTGCTCGTCAATAGCTCGTGCCATTCCCCTAGCGAGTTTGTACAGGATACGTTACATATCCTATATAAATTTGCTAGGGGAATGGAGCGAATTATTGACGAGCGGTGCACCTACATGACAGTGGCACGGATTGGAGGCAATGAAGTGATGCAAATTATATCAACAACAAAATTGTGTTTCCCAGAAAAGCAGCCGACTTTCCGTGTCATCAATAGCGACAGCTTTGCGCCTGTATACGTGTCCATTGTATATATTGTATTGTGACCAGTGATCCAGACTTCACTACACCACTTTCACGCGTTGTAGTATTCTTTTCGCTCTGTTCCTCGTCGTTCACAAGATACGCAATGTATCAACATCTTCGAACATTACTTGAGACGGCTCGAAACACCCCTGCGCGCACGCGCTATGTATGTGCGTTTTACGTTTCCGTCTATACGTTTGTACTTTTTTTTTTGTAATAAATGTACTCTCTAAAATTTGTGGAGTGAAAATACCGCCGTGGAGCGAAATGTTTACTCCATTGGAGTTAATATTCACTCTGTTGGAGCAAATAAATAGGGTGAACATTTCACTCCACGGCAGTATTTTCACTCCACAAATTTTAGAGAGTACACGGAAATAAATGTCAGCAATATATTAATGCGTGCGCTCTACCTGTTTCCAGATTGGCGATATAATTATTTCTAAAAGTACAGAAAATCGATATTAGTCGCGAGATCGCGGAACGGGCGTGTGTATAAAAATGGATCGGCGCCGCGTAGCGCGAATTAACGGGTTACGCGGGGGCTATTTTGGAATTCTGCGCCCCGGTACTCACTTCAGCTCGCGCCGATCGCCCTTGAAGTTCTCCGGCACCAGGTTATGCGTGACCTTGTTGATCTTTCTGGGCAAGAGTTTATTCACGTTGAACTTGAACTCCATTTTAACGAGATGACGGGGGCGTGGGGGTCCCCTTGCCTGTCACCGTGTCACAAATCGCGCTCGCTCGTGCCCGTCGCGCGTACGCACCACGTTTCCCGCTTATCCACGCTCCGCGTCTGTCCTGTCCCGGCGGATGATCGCGAGACTCGCCGTTTTCACGACTACGGGCGCGACAGCGGAGCTCGCCTTGAATATGGCTGTGGTTCGCGCACCCTTTCGCGGCAACTTCACTTCGTGTTGTTGATTGTCACGTGAACATCGATCGGGTTTTCTCTCTCTCTCTCTCTCTCTCTCTCCCCCTCTCCTCCCCTTCTTTCTCGCGCTCCCGGTACTGCGAGCAGCGCGAGCTCCTGTCACTGACTCCGCAGAATCTCGCTCGAGTCTCGTATTGACACCTTCGCGCGGCACCTCCGGTCGTCACGTGGGTGCCGCTACCGACAGTTACCGTCCCGCTCTCGTCTATTTCCCAATCGTCCTACGTTCCAAAACTTAGCTCGTCTCGTTCCGAAATTATTCCCTCAGCGCAACGAGAGACGCGGAGAGGGGGAGGGGGAAGGGCGCGATTGCATCTCGTCTACATCACGGTATATTCCGAAACGACGACGCTCCGGCTCGACACGGGAGAGCGACGCGCGCGAGAGCCGCGGAGCTCCGTGGGATCGATCGCCTCTCGATGGCGCAAAGCCCCCGCACACCAGCCACACGGTGCTCGCGCTCGCTTGACGGCTCACGGCTCACGGCCGACTGATAGCTATCGCCGCTGCTCGCGTGTGCCAAGCACGAGGATGCGACCTCCGCGTCCCTCCTTCGCGGGAAAGCGACCGGTGGATTCAATGCCTCGCGCGTACACGTTCGTTCGAATGTCCGAACAGCGAGTATTTCCGCCAAGCGGCGCTTCAAGACGGACAGTCAACCGAATAACGAGACAAACGAGATAGCGGATAATTGCAATGAAAATTGGCGCGATTTAGGGCCGATTGTTCCAAAACAACGGGTACTCGTTTCTCTCCTTCGAGGCTACGTTCAGAAACATCACCCCGAGTGCCCCCCCCAGTGTATCCTTTTATTCTCGCTTAGCGCACGGTGAGCAACAAAGATATACAGGGTGATTC